TTATTTACTTAAACTAACCTCCTCTCTCTCTCTCTCTCTCTCTTCTTTTTTTTTTTTTTCCTTTTTGCCCGAATTAGCGATAGCCTCAGCGACTCTCAGACCATGGACAGCGGCCTCTGGCCACTGTTCTCGATTTCCTATACACTCTTTAGATGGAACCCAGCAATCTTTGTTTTCTTTACCTGTAATATATCTGTATTTGGTTGGATGAAGATTCTGCCTCGACGACGAGCCTCGAACCTCGAAATTTTCTCATGTTTAGCGCTTGCTTTTGATTATCCATGTATATTACATCACCCAGACACCAAATACCATAACAATGGCCCTGTATTCCAAGGCATGAATAAATATTTCTCAATTGTCCTGGGACTTTGTTAACACTACTCGCTATGAAAACCATTAAAGTACAATTCAAGACAAAAACAGCAAATCATGAAACTGCCCTTTGTGGCACTGTAGCTGCCTTCTTTTCTCTTAGTAGATGACGGTGTCTTCATCTCCCTTAATTATGATGTCCTCAGTGTCATCATTGTCTCTTTCCTGGTGAAGACCAGCCTTGCTGGCATGATCGGTAACATGTCCGTCAGCAGTCTCAGTAGGGTTATCACGATGAGTGGAATGATCAGACACGAGTTCAATGTCAACTTTACCCGGTATGCTCGTGGGTGGCTCCGCTGTTGGGTCCGCAGAGGCTGTTTGTGACTCAGGGCCAGAATCAGGTGCGGGGACGGGTGCAGGTTCAGATACAGGTACATGCTCAGAGTCTGGCTTGGAGGGAGGGACACCAAGAGCAGTCAGTCTCTGCGCTTTCCTTTGCTTGAACTCACGCGTTTCTTTCTCAACCAATTCGTCTGCATCGCGGATCTGGTCCTTGATGAGAGCTTCTTGTCTTGATGTCAACTCCCAAGGAAGATAGTACTATTGAGAAAAGATTAGCAACCGCGGCAATATTTTTCCTTGGACAGAAGGATGAACTCACGATCTTGGGCTCAGATTCGGTTTGGAGAAAGCGCGCCGTGTTGGTGACATGGTCATGTTTCGTCCGCAGCTACGATGGAGCTGTCAGTAGTTGTTCCAAATGATTCCAGGGCAACATGCCAGGATTGCTACTCACAACTCGCTCCTCCCAAGCAATCTGCTCCCGTTGCCTCGTCGCCTTGAGCTTGGCTAGTCGAGCCTCGCGGTGCGCATCGTCCTCTGTCTTTTGCTGCGAGACTCTTGCCTGCTGTCGCCGCTCAACGTCGTGTCTCTTTCGCTGCTGGGATGAGCTCTTGTTCGTCTGACTAAGTGTACTCAGCAGGCCGCCAAACAGCCGCTTGCCGCGACGCTTCTCTTCTATCGATGCGCTCTGTCGGCGGTCGGTTGTTGTGGGTGACGTCGCCGCCCTTCCATTTGCGCCATTGCGAATGGACTCGGACTCGGATTCTCGGCGCTGCCGCTTGGGCGAGACAGATCTCTCATGGCCACCATTACCAACCGGTCCAGGCGAGGATGCCTTGCGCTTCTGTGTAGTGGGCGAGGCATCCAAAGAAGCAGCAGTAGCAGTAGCAGGGTCCTGCGACATCGAATCAAGTGGCGGTTGCGACGGCGCATCTTGGGTCAAGGTCCTAGGTGGAGACAGTCAGCCAATCGTGAATGTCTGATTCATGTATACTGCAGTTTGAACCTACTCGGCGACCATCATGTTTGCCCTTCTTTCTTGACTGCGCACGGATTGATTTGAGGTATTGGTCCTGGAAAATTATGACTAAATCGAGCGCGCGTGCACATGAGTTGGGGTTGAATTGCTAATATGTTGAGCGGAACGAAGAGCTCACAAGGCTGGGTGAGGACAGAACTACGATACAGTACCTGTTGAATGGGATTGTATTGATAGATAGCTCCATGGCAGCTCGGTACCTGGGCGTTTGAACCATAGACAAGTCAAGACCCCACGTTACGCAGGCGATTAGCGCTAAATTTATGCAGCTAAGCTTGCTAATTTATACAGTGAACGACATGAAGATCTGCTAATTGTGCAAAGCTCCTCCCGAGCTGCTTGGGAGCTTTTTAAGGTACCAACCAACGTCAACCAGGTCCCCTCTGAGAGAAAGCGCCAGAAAACAGTGGCGAGGCTGAGAAATCGACCTTTGGCGGAAGTTTGAATAATCATTGCGCATCTCTCGTTTCCAACCTGGACTGTGACACTTCCTACTTTATTTCCTGCCGGTCAGATTCATTTCTTCGAATCCTGATCATTCGCACATTCTTTCAAAATGTCGCGTCATCATCCGTAAGTCTGTCTCTGTACTTCCCAACACCAACAGTCCCCTGCCCTCTCCTCCTCCTCACCAGTGCTTGATCCTCGAAAAGAAGCTGAGCTAACGCGTCTCCTCTTTTTCTCCTCCTAATAGTGATCTCGTAATGTGCCGAAAGCAACCCGGCATCGCCATCGGACGGCTCTGCGACAAGTGCGACGGCAAGTGCCCAGTGTGCGACTCATACGTGCGGCCGACGACGCTGGTGCGCATCTGCGACGAGTGCTCATTCGGCAACTACCAGAACAAATGCGTCGTGTGCGGCGGCGAGGGCATCTCGGACGCCTTTTACTGCTTCGAGTGCACCCGCCTCGAAAAGGACCGCGACGGCTGCCCCAAGATTATCAACCTCGGCAGTTCCAGGACCGACTTGTTTTACCAGAAAAAGACAAATCGCGGTGCTGCGTACTAGACACGGCGTGCCCGGGGCTGGGCTTTTCCCGACTTGTTTATTTGCTGGTGTTTGAGAAAGGGGCAAGAAGGAGACGAGGAATCCGAGGCGTCATGATCATGGGGGGGAAAGTATGACGATGCTCGAGATATTTTGCATCTTCATGGCGTTCCGGACGAAGGGTTCAATTTCGGCAGAGATTTCGACAAAAAGACCAATATCGATACCCCAAAACTTTGTGCTTTCAAATTAAAATGACCATATTTGAGATTGTACATTTGTTTGACACATCTGCTGCTCAGAAATAGCATCACAGATGACCATCTTGCGCTGGGCTATGGCTATTAGGACTTGTGATATGATGCTTGCGACTATGCCTACTTTGAAATTGAAGTGTGAGGTGGATATTGAATAGAATAGAGATCATGCATGCTACCACTGGAAATACAACCTGCTTAGGACCGCAACGCCAGAATGAAGAGACAAATTGCCGGAGCAATGATAAAAGAACAACCGCCGGGTGTCTGATTATCAGATATAACTGACCTTGACGCCCATGCCTGCGGTGGCCTTTACCTTGTTCCATCCGGTTCCTAGGACTCGAGTGATCCTCTCCCGGATTCTTTGGTTGCCAAACATTACTATTAATCCCAGGAGGAAGGCAATGAATCTCATCAGCATCATTGGGTTTGTCTTGAGCGACGCCCCCATCTGCTCCAGGACCGCTCTCAGATTTGCGAAAACCATCGACGCCCTGGCACTAAAAGTGGGAGATTTAACCGCCTTTCCTTTGGCAGGCGGCTTTGGCTTTGATAACGCGGAAGACTGCGCCCGTGTGCGTCTACCTTTGCTGGAACCACCGACGCTGGGTGTGCTCTCGATGCCATAATCGATCTCGCTTCCTTCACGCCTCGCGCGTTCCTCTTCTATTCTTTTTCTTTCCCTTGCTTCGTTTTCGGCTCTATACCTCCTGGCCTCTTCCAAATCTTGTCTCAACTGATCGTCTTGCCTTTGCTTTTCCTCCCGGTCTCGGCGTTCTTGCTCTTGCTGTTCTTCTTGCAAACTTTGCAATGCTTGCAAAAAGGCGTCTCTACGCTCCTCGTCCAAAACTGACGAGACACTGATAAATTCCCGAGCGTAATCCCATTCGTTATTTCGCAACAAGACATGCAGCGTGTAAAGCTCTAGAATTTTGACCCTCGAGTTCAGATCCCGCGGCGTATCGGCACCACTAGTTGCCCTCCGAGCTTTTGCGTGAGACCCTTTCCGTTTGTGTTCGCGCGGTGACTGCGACGCTTCCAAGCGTTGTGCCAGATCTAGGTTGGGCTCTTGTGAAGCAGCCAGGTAGCTCTCTAGTCTCTTCTGATTCAGCGTTTGTGAGTGTGCGTGCGCGAGCAATAACGTTGCGCTGTTTGACGATACATTAGTAATCAACAAAACCTGCCGAATGGGTAGCCAGACTTGACTTACAGGTTTATCACAACGTCCGAGTCCACGTCCCCTTCAACACCATGGTAACCATTCCGCACAACCTCTTCCCAGATACCGCCATCTCGTACCTTGGTGCACAGTGCTCTCCAGTCTTGAGCACCAAAGGCTTCCTTTCCCTCATTGGGCTCAAGTTCCAATACTGCATTGAGAACTGTCAGGTACAAGCTCCAGACCTTGATTCGCGTGGATCTGCTAGCTCTCGCGATCGGTGCCGGCTCGGGCGCGTCACCTGCCCCGTCCTCTGGCGGAGGTGGCGTGACAAGCGGCTGGATTGTAGAGAGCGCCTCGGGAAGGCGACGTGTGAGAAAGAGCTGCGAGGCTTGGCGGTATGTCTTGGAGATGTAGTTGGGTGTCGGCCGAGTCAACGTCGAGGACGACAGTGAGCTGATGGAGCTCGAGAGAAGATTGTGGTGAGAACTGAGGCCAGACTCGGAAGTTGGACTAAGCGTCGCCGAATATGCAATGTTGCTGGACGTCATTTCTGCAACGTCTGTATTGTTTTATTGTATTTGTTTTCCTCGTCACGATCGCTGTATTGTTGGCTTTCTGGTCGCGCTCGTATGTTTCCCACTCGGCTGCATTTATTGTACTGTCGTGGACCCGCCGGCGAGTGATATTCTGGTTTGCGCAGCTGCAGGCGAGGGATTTATCGTTCATTCATTAGTCAATTGAACAAAAGAAAAGGTAATTGAAATAATATCTTGTGGTAAGGAAAGATGCAAAGTGTTTTTTTGTCGAAGATTGGCCCAAAGTCAAGTCCCAAGTAAGAAAGTAAAGTAAAGTCGAGGGCTGGCATGTGGATGTGCTCACAGTAAAGTTTGGCTGCCCAGTACAGGCCGGTCGGTACCAATAGAGCTGCAGCTACCTGTGCTCTTCAGCAGCCCATTTTGCCATTTTACTCGGTGATTGCGGCCCTGCAGCTTTCTAGCCTCGGCTCATTCGGGGGGGACATGGGGGTGGGATTGGAAGGCAACTCGCGAGTGCTGCGCTGCAGTCCCTCGACTCCACGATCCTTCCCCGTAACGGTCATCGAGGCCGCGATTAGTTTAGGCCAGCATCTCCACCAAAACACGTCCCATTTTCCGGGGAAGTTGGGAAATTTTGCAGACTCTTGTGGTGATCTCTGCTGCCATGTGACAATGCAATTAATCAAGTGCACAGGGGGGAGGAGACCATTTAAACATAATTGACAGTATTATAGACAAAAGAAGACAGGCCGAACTGTCCGACGACTACTCATGTCTCACTGCCAAAGTTATAGTGATTCATTGTGTTATTCGTGAGGCTCTCCTTCGCTATCATGATCGTCTTCTTTGCGAGCTCCACATTGAATAAAATATCCAGTCACTGCTGGTCCGACTTTGCCTTGGTATATTTTACATCCGTCTCCGCATTCATCATTGATAATGATCCGTTACACGAAATCTAGGAAAGATTGAGCCAAACATGGCTGATCATGTACAACTTCACGATGTCCGGGCTTCTTCGTAATGAGGTCGCTTTGCATCGGAGCATATCTAGAAAGACTTGGCTTCATTAAATGCGGCATGTTCGCTTGCTCCCATTGGCCAGACCCCTTTTTCTGTCATGTCCCGTGGCCCCGACGCCTATTACCAGGATGACCGTGTACCTCCCTTCTAAGATATTACCTGGCGATTCAGTCGTGGCATTGCCTATTATCCACCAGCAATTTTTATAATCATGATCTGCCAAAGGCAGGCTCGGCAGGTAGTAAAAAGGAAAGTCTGTTGCTGATGCTGCTCTGTAAAATTTGCATCTAAGAAATAGATCCCACGGCTGTGCCATACCAAGCGAGACTACGCGGCTCTAGTCTCTGTAGGACCTCTACAGAGACCGGACTTTTATATCCGTGCCAACCCTGTTTTACACCAAAAGTCACCATATTCAAGTGTTCACCAATAACCTGAAAAAAATCGTAAAATTAAGCTAGAACCAATAATCTATTTATATTTAATAGAAGAGCATTTTGTATTATTTGATCTTTCTATTCT